CTAGAAGGCTAGAAGGCTAGAAGGCTAGAAGGCGAAGATAAATACAATGCTAGTCTATTTATAGCCTTTACATGAGAAAACTTCTGGAAGAAAATTCACGTGATCGACTGGGCTGGATTTGACCAATCAGCATGCAGCTAATAATGCGAGAATTTTCTATCCTGTTCTCCAAGCTTCGATCAGGCGCTGATTGGATAGGAAATTAGCCAATCAGCGCGTAGTGACGTAATCTCGCTTTAAATCCATCTATGTCCCACTAACACCTCCCCTTTGAGAAGATTCGTAGGATCTGGTGCTAGGGTCCAACTGCAACCGAGTGACTGGTTTGTACTTTCGGTTACTCCATCTTCTCGGCAATAACGAAGTTGTGTCACTCTTTGCTTGCACAGAAACTGACTTGTGTGTTCCCGGCGTTTTAATTTTGAAGGTGTCCAGCAGAACGTCGAGAGGTATTCGGTGCCGAGTCCCGTTGCTGGCTATCGAAGTTTCTTTCAGTTGGTTAGCATGACGTACCCAAACTTCTGAGCCAACTGACACCTCATAAGTCACATTTCCTTTCTTTTTTAAAATCCGACCAGCTGTCCATGCAGGATGTTTTCCACGATAGTCCATAGCAAGTACTTTCTGGCCCACTGTGAACGATCGTCTTTTTGCCCCATGGTGTCGATTGAACTGCTTCTCCATCGACAGGTTTCGCTGAGGCTCAAGAGCTGGTGTAGGACGGATGACATCAAAATGTGTTCGTAATTTTCTACCAAGTAGAGCTTCCGCAGGTGAGACTCCGTCAATCGTCTGAGGGTTCGGTGTAGAGCGATAAATAAGCAGGAACCTCTCTAAGATCTCTTCGGTGGTCCCCTCCCCTTTGGATTTTTTTAGAGCATTTTTAAATGTGCTCACAAAGCGTTCTACTTGACCATTTGATTGCGGATGGAATGGAGGTGTTCGGACGTGATAGATTCCGTTCTGCCGGCAAAATTGCGAGAAGACTGCGGACGTAAACTGTGTCCCGTTGTCAGTAACTATCAATTCCGGGACTCCGAAACGACTGAATAGTTTACGTAATTTACTGACTGTACAGCTTGCAGTTGGGTGTTTCATCAAGAAAATTTCTGGCCACTTACTGTATGCATCAACTACCAGAAGGTAAGTTTGTCCATGAAGTGGGCCAGCAAAGTCCAAATGTATACGCTGCCACGGTGACTGTGGTATTGGCCATGATTGCAACTCTGCTTTGCGCGGTGCTTTTGCTGCTAATGCACATTTGGTACACGAACGGGATAGCTGCTCTAGCTGGGTGTCTAAGTGCGGCCAGTATACATAACTTCGTGCTAGTGCTTTCATGCGATTTATTCCAGGATGTCCCACGTGCAACTGTTTTAGCACTGCTGGTTGTAGCTTCGCTGGAATTATGACTCGTTCGGCAAACAGCAGGCAGTCGTCGATGATTGAAAGAGAGAGTCTACGCTGGTAAAACTGTTGAAGCTCTGAAGAGTTGATCTTCGAAGGCCAACCTTCCAGGTGAAACTTTCTAACTTCTTGTAGAAGTGGGTCTCGAAGAGTTTCTTCTCTGACTTCCTCTGACGACACTGGAGTGTTTCGAATGGCGTCTGCTACTACACTCCTTATTTCTGGGTCTACTGCTGTTGAGGCAATGATTATGTCCTCTGGTTCAGGATGCTGAACTCCAATTAATCGAGAGAGAGCGTCCGCTTGACCGATAGTATTTGTCGACTGATACTTGATATTGAAATCATAACTCAGGAGCATCGTTGCCCAGCGCTGTAATCTATTAGCCGTATAGACAGGGATTCCTTTCTTAGAACCAAAGATTGCAATCAAAGGTTTGTGATCTGTCAGTAGCGTAAACTTACGACCATAGAGCATTTTATGAAATCTTTTGACAGCGAAAATAATTGCAAGAGCTTCTTTCTCAATTTGACTGTAATTTCGCTCGGCTGGGGTGAGAGATCTGGCAGCATGGGCAATTGTTTTCTCTGATTTATCCGGAAACACATGAGATATTACTGCTCCAACTCCATAACTAGAGGCGTCAGATGCAACAACAATTCCCAAGCTGGGATCGAAGTGTGTCAAAAGAAGCTTTGAGCTGAGCATCGACTTGACTTTATCGAAAGATGCTTGACATTCTGCTGACCACTGCCAAGGTTTATCTTTTGATAGTAATTCATTCAAGGGACCTCTCACTCGATGCATTTCAGGCAGGAATGCGCTGTAATGACTGATTAACCCCAAGAAAGATCTTAATGAAGAGACATCAGTTGGTGCAGGCATCTTCTGAATGGCTTCGATGTTGGCTGGGTCTGGTCGGCGACCGTTCTTATCTAAGATGAAACCAAGGTATTTGATCGAATGCATGAAGAAGATACACTTTTCTTCACGTAGTTGGAAACCATACTCCAACACTCGGTTAAGGACTTGATGTAGTCGATCTGACAGTTCACTGTCACTTGAACCCATAACTATGATATCATCTAGATAAGCTGCTGTCCCAGGTATACCTGTTAGCATCGTATCCATTATTTGCTGAAAGATAGCCGGTGCGGTCTTGATGCCAAATGGTAGACGAGTGTATTGAAATAGCCCTCGATGGGTGTTAATAGTCAGGAGCTCTCTACTATCTTCATCTACTTCTACTTGTAGATAGGCATCGGAAAAGTCTATTTTCGCGAAACATGTACCACCATTAAGCTTGGCAAACAGATCTTCAGGAACTGGTAACGGATACTGATACACATCCAATGCAGCATTTAAACCAGTTGAGAAATCGGCACAAATGCGTATAGTTCCATTAGCTTTCTTAATCACTACGATCGGTGCGGCCCATGAAGAGTAGTTGACTGGTTGGATTACCCCAGCCTGTTGTAAGCGATTAAGTTCCTGATCGACTAGCTCAAGAGTGGCATATGGTACAGGACGTCTAGGACGAAAAATAGGTTTCGCATCTGATTTCAATGGTAAGTGAGCTTTCATCTTGGTACAGAGGCCAAGGTTATTCTGAAAAACAGAGGCAAACTTTTCCTTCAGTTTTTCACGTAATCTTTCACCTGTCTTCTTTTTAAGTATCGGGGTATCCAATGATGAACACGATATGTTGCAGACACTATTAATGGGTACATCCATTATTCCCAGCTTTTCTAGCATATCTAGACCAAGAAGATCAAGGTTTGGCCGTTCTGTCAGATAGCATATTCCTGTGCATTTTTTTCCGTTGAAGGAAAATTCACACTGCATCTCACCAACCAGTTTTAACACACCACCTGAAGCGCTTTTAGCTGTTTTCTTAGATGGCTTCATTGGCGGTTTTCCCAGCATGTTGTACGTTTCTCTAGACATTAAGGTGATATCTGATGCCGTGTCGATTTGGAAACGAGCTGATGCACCGTTCATCTGGATAGTAACATACTTTCTCCGAACGTCATATTCTGTTTGAAAAGCAGCTACGAGAGAAAGTGATTTAGACTCGGCTGATTTCACCACATGTCGAGTACGTTTGCGCTTCTTCTTGGGCTGAGACGTACGATTGGTTGGCAATGGCCTTCTTTATGTCCACGTTTATGGCACATCTGACATTTATGTTTTTTAAATGGACAAAATCGTACGTAGTGCCAATCACCACATAACCAACATGCCGTCGTTGGTTTGTTACGAGATGTTATCGGCTTCTGGACCTTTAACCTAGTAATAGCATTGACACTACTGCTGGTTAAATTGTGATTTACCTGTTCAATCAACATGTTGTCGTGCCTGATACTTTGTAGGCGTTTACACTCATCTGTCAATGTTCTGAGTGTGACGTTAGGGTCTTGGTCCATTCGAATCAAAAGTCTAGTTCTGGTTTCCGCATCTTGCGGTGACTGAAGAGCTTTGATGAATATTAAGCATTTAAATTGGTCTTCCGTCAACGAGCGTAACCTGAACCGTTCACATTCTCTGTTGACGACGTCTGCAAGAACCGCATATTCATCATCTTCGTGTTTCACCAGATTTAGACAGTGATATCTAATACTAAACAATGATGATGATTCGCCGAAAATATCTGACAGCTGAGTTACTGTCTCCTCGAAACTGAGTTCTCGAGGTAACTTCGGTAATATGTGGTCAGCGTAACGTTCATACTCATTGCTTCCCAACTTACGCAGCAACAATCGAGTCTTCCAAGCATCGTCTTGTTTACCGAATTCAATTCTAAATGTATCTTCCCAACGTTTGAACCACGTCAGAAAAGTATTTCCACATTCAGGATTATAGACGAATTCTGGTATGCTGTTAGCCACTGCTTCACAAGACGTATTTGAAACAGTATGTGGACTCGAACACTGGATGTTGAGCTGTTGAGTTAGGATCTCCAACAACCGCATTTGTGCATCTAATTGTGCTTGCTGTTGTTGTAGTATTCGGTTAAGCTGATCATCTGAAATAGGCATCTTGAAAATTTTTTTTTCCTTTTTCTCCGTCGCCACTGTTGTAACGGTTACTTACGATATTTCCCGGCTAAATCTTATTGCTTAGTATTCTTGACACAAGACACTGGACAAGTAACACAAATCAGAACACGGTTGAACAGGAAGGATTGTATTCCAAAATAGCAATGAAAAGAAGCTGGAGGTGATGGCGAAAGCCAAGGCAAAAAGGCTTGAAAGCGAAGAAGGCTAGAAGGCTAGAAGGCTAGAAGGCTAGAAGGCGAAGATAAATACAATGCTAGTCTATTTATAGCCTTTACATGAGAAAACTTCTGGAAGAAAATTCACGTGATCGACTGGGCTGGATTTGACCAATCAGCATGCAGCTAATAATGCGAGAATTTTCTATCCTGTTCTCCAAGCTTCGATCAGGCGCTGATTGGATAGGAAATTAGCCAATCAGCGCGTAGTGACGTAATCTCGCTTTAAATCCATCTATGTCCCACTAACATCTGTTCACGTGTTAATCATTATTATTATTATTATTATTAATGTTATTGCTCTGGTTTTATATTTTAGTGCTTTAGAACCTGGTGCTTTATACAACCGTCGCCAATTGACAGCTCGTGAAGTATTTCAAGAGATGGTACTACAACGAATAAGTCAGGTACAGTGTTTATTGTGAATTATAAAAGTGTTTGTTTTGGTATGTATATACTTTGTACTAGAGAAAGGCCAAATCGCTACTTTAATCGAGCTGTACTACATTGAGGCTTAACACGACTCCTATAGTTTAAGTATCAATTATGTACAGTTTGTGGTAAAACGTTGAGTATGTTTTCTGTGTTCTTATGAAGCCTTGAATTTTCTAAGCTTCATAACTTTCTTCAATTACCTATCATTATTTTTCGTAAAGCGTTTCTTTCACTCATCGGTGCCCGACCGTAGCTGGCTACCTTGATGTGGTGATCGGGCTTTGCCTGTCGAGATGCGATGCACCAGCTGAGTTATACTGGCTGGAGCATATGTTCATTTAAATCCTACCATACTAGGCAGGTCGATTGGAGAACCATGAAACTATTAGCAGCTACTCAGGGTCTCAGGATGAAGTCGTACTGCTGACTGCAGAGAGGTGTGACAGCAGTATAGTGGTTCCCTCGGACAACAAGCATCTGCAACGATACTGCTTTATCACAAGGAAAGAAGAGTTTAGCAAAGGTCGAACCTAAAAATTTCACACTTCACCTTACCTCATGGATTTCCGTCTCAGGTGGTACGGCCACTTAAAGAGCGAAGCTAACAGTTTAAAAACTTTCCATAAAAAGGCCGTGAATGACCAGCCTGAAGCAGTTGTCTCTTAGACTCTATGGTTACTCTCCCGGGTCGCTAAGACCACCGCTAACATGGTGTGGTCAGCCGAGAAGTAATATCCATCCTCATACCTGTAATAACACTCGAGACCAAACTAATCACAATCAAATCCTTTCCTACACCCCTGTTGGGGATGTTAGATCCCTAGAACTCGCTTGATAAATATCTTTATTTTGGATTTATTTCATGGGCCGACCAGATGACCTTGAGATCACATTTCCCACCAGGAAAAACCTTTGCTATGATTGGTTACTATGTCATTTTAGTGTGCTATTTTGTGGTTGTACCAAGGACGTCTCTATGGTGTATAAATAAACGCGCTTTGAGTGCTTGGATTCATTGTGTGCTGGCTGGGTGTCTGTAGAATACACTTTCTACACAATATCAAGACTTCTTACTGATTCAGTTTGGTCAAGGGATCATAGTAGCCTACCTGGACAGTGGTGAACTCGTAATAGTTTCAAGCATACCTAGAGACGAGCGTAACAACCTCCCACTTGTAACTGATGATGATATTGTATTTCATTATTCACTAACTAACTGTGTTCTAGTTTATTGATTAAATAAAAATAGAAAGTGTTGTTGTTACATTCTGTTCTTTCATTTTAAAGTGCATCTTTTTTTTATTATTATACTTCAATAAATGATATAATTGTTTATATCGATAAAATGTTTAATAAACAAATTTTGTAAATTTTGTCTTAAAACTTCATAAATGTGAAAATAATTAGTTTTCAGTAGTGTTTTTTTTTAACTAATAATGATGATTATTATTAATCAAATGTAGGCATTCATTCGTGGATGCGCACTGCTGATGAGTCCCATACCAGGACGAAACGGCCGTCCAGTGCTTCCAGGTTTCTAATGGTGGTGGTCTAACAATGATTGATTGATGATTTCAAATGTGTAATTCATAGAAAAATTATTGATCGAAATGAATAATGGCTAGTAGTGAGATGAAGAATAAACATTTCCTTCTATTTATATGACTTATCTTCGGCTGAATGTACTTGTATCTTAGAATTAATGTTCATTCTGTGTGTGGAATCCAATACCGTTAGTTGTTAAGTTCAGATAGCGCTAGCCAGTGGCTTATGCAATGTATTCATAGTTTGAATATTCTTATTGATATCGGTTGACACATTCAACCGCTTCACTGTCTATCACTAGTTCAGGTGACGATACGCAACCCAATCCTGAAGCGACATTTCATTTGTATTTCAAGAGGGGGGGAGAACCGCATGCCGAACATGCTTGCATTGTTGCTTAGGGTGATCAGAAGACATTGCATTGTGTTGGCGCCTTCACCAAGTAGCGCTATATCATTTGCATATTCTTAGTCAACAAATGAATTTCCTGGTAAATGTTCAACTCCTGAAAAGTCAAATGAAGATAAAGTTATATCTAGAACCATGTCTACGACAAAGTTGAACAGGAATAGAGGGAGTAGATAGCCCTGACGGATACCATTTGAAGTAAAGAATTCCAATGACAGTTCGCCGTAAGCTCTCACTCGACCAGTGGTGTTCAAGTAGAGAGCTTGTGTAAGGTTAATGTACTTCTTTGGTACACTTTTTAATGACAGGCACTGCTACAGAACCTCACGATCGACAAAGTCGAATGCCGCTTTAAGGGCGAGAAATACTACTATAGTGGGACGTCTGAACGTGTGTCTATGTTCTAGGACCTGTCGTAGTGTGGAGATGTGGTCTATACAACCACGTCCATGTCGAAAACCAGATTGGTTTTCTCGAGTCTGCTCTTCACGAGCTCTAGCTAGGCATCTAAGTAAAATTGAAGCTAACAATTTAGAAACTATATTAGTTAGACTTATTCCCCTGTGATTGTCACAAGAAGACTTTTGTCCTTGCTTATAAATTGAGAGAATCAGGGATTGAGACCAGTCAGATGGTATTACGCTTAGTTCCCAGATTCTACCCAAAATTTTAGTCAATCTACCTGCTAAAACTGGACCACCATCCTTAAAAATCTCAGGAGTCAATCTGTCGGGTCCTGCAGCTCGTCCTCGTTTCAGACTTCCTAACGCTTTCTCAACGTCATTAAGACTAGGGGGACTTACATCTACTTGACATTCAGGATGACTGGAGATCGTGGGTAACCGAAGAGTGGCTCGTGGCCAGTTGAACTGATCCCTAAAGTGTTCTGCCCATCGATCCAATCTGCTGGATTGAGAATGGATAATAAGCCCATCCTTTTCCAAAATGATCTGACTTATAGTCGGATTCCTAATTCCGGTTTCTTTCATAAGTCTGGATATTTGTCTACCGTTGCCTTCGCCACTACCTTTTCCATCTCTCGTGCTTTCGCCACCCACCGCTCATCGTGATCATTTTGTAGGCCTTTTATTCGCTTGCACCTGATCTGATTTCGCTCCTCATGGTACTCAGAGTCAGATGGATTGAGTTTCAAAGTACCTAACAGTTATGTAGATGCTACTGAAATCTAGGGATCACATGATAATTTGCATGATGCGGTTGTAGATTTACTTTTTGAAATCAAATTTAAAAAAATCTATTTACCTATCAAAATTAAAATGCAATCTTTTGCTTTATTTTTTTACAAAACTCATTATTTAAAATGAAAACCAAATTTATATAATCTTTAAGTCATTGAATTATTATTTGTGTATAATTAAACTACAAACTATGTTTATCTGACCATGACCCTTTCAACTAGAAACACATTTCTGTCTGATGTAGCCTTGTAAGAAAATTACTGGTGACAATCAGTCAGTTGTAACGTACATACATCGATTCATGTTGTCATATCGCAGTAGCACAAACAGATGAAATTTCCAAGACTAATCCTAGAACAGTAGTAGTAGTAGAAGTAATAGTAACAGTATTACTGATAATGAAAACGTTTAAGGATTGAAAATTAGATTTGTGTAAATAGAATTCCTTGAAAGGAATTATGAAGCCTAGAATTAAGAGAAGATAAATAATGGATGCATTTGTGCCATCGCAAACTATTTTAAGCCATGTTCTTTAATGTCCTCTAAGCACAACCTAGTCTATTACCTATTTAATACGACTTAGTCCAATTGTCGCTGACTTCACGTTTTCATTTGGTCATCCTTATCTTTCTTCCATCCTACTTCTATACCAGACATCGTCGCTCGTTGAAGTGTAGGCAGTAGTTAATGAAGATTGACTGCTTCGATTCACCATCCTAACTTGTGCCTTCTCCTAACTTATATATTGTTTACTCATCGATCCCAGAATACGTCCTTGATCGATTACCAATAATTTACGAATATTCTCTATTCTTGATGGTCATTTTCTAGATGCATAAGATAGAAGAGACAGATTTATGAGAAGTAAACTCGTCCTTTGGTTAGTAGACTAATATCTCACTTACGCCACTAGTCGCGCAAGTTGGTAAGAGCTAATCAATCCTTCCATATACGTGCCAGGATTTCCTTAAACACCAGACCATTAGGACTCATGAGACTCTGAAGATAAGTGAAACGCTTGACGTGCTTAATCACTTCACTTCTTAAGTTAGCATAAAAACTGTACTCTATTCAATTAACGTTCATTTGACCCTCTCAGTTGTTACGGCAATTTATATGAGTTGTTGTTGTTAATCGAGAACGTTCCATTCTCACTTCCAGTTTCCTTGAAAGGCATCACTAATCATGAATTATCGTTCTCTAAGTATAACTTCAAATCGAATTTTTGTAGACTCTAAGGGATGTTTTCATTATTGACGATGGGTTTAAAAGGAGGAAATATGTTCTCATGAAGCGGAAGTCTTGTGGATATGGGCTCACCAATTCTGTGGTGGTTGGTGTTCAATATATTCTTAAACTTCGTATACTTCTCGTCCTGATAACCGTTACGAGATAACGTCCAACAGTGTAGAAATCAGAAGACGAATACGAAGTGTTGAATACGTTTATTATGGTACCACATATAGGTCATGTCGGGCTCACCAATTCTGTGGTGGAGTTGGTTCATCGGCCTTCTCCACTTCGCTTCACTTTGCTTTCAAGTTGTGTTTTCTCTTGTTTGTTTGCATGAATGATTGCTCGAAGTGAACTCATCCGAACGAATTAGTATTTGACTTCTTACTACCGCCATCGCACAAACAAGGTTCAACTCAGTACGATTTACGGAAACTGAAGGGGAGATTTATTTCACATCATACTCGAATGTCATAAATAGAGGAGTCAGCTCATGGGGCACTAAAGTAGTGAGCCGTTTTTCGAGTTCAATGCAGCCACTGAGAAATGATGAGCCCGACGACGAACATAACTCAGCCACCTCCACCACAAAAGAACAATTGAAAAGTTCAACCGAATATCCTCTAAGCTCTATAGAATGACTTCAGTTTGAGTATTTCTTGAATATGTTAAATATATACATATATATCCTGAAGATACAAATGTTTATCAACAGTTTTCTACACAAAATACTTCGGACCTATTGGTCAGACACCATCAACATTAACCTTCTGTGGTAGAGAACAAACCAGATTCCAGCTAAGGAAGAAATTCGGAGAAGGCGCTGCAATTGGATAGGACACGCATTAAGGAAAACATCCAACTGCATCACAATACAAGCTTACACTTGGAATTTTCAAGACTAAAGGAAAAGAAGAAATACCAAAGAATAGATTACGCCGAGAATTGGAAGCAGACATCAAAAAGAATGAACAGGAATTGGGTAGAACTGGAAAAGAAGCCTCAGGATAGAGTATGTTGGCGAACACTGGTTGGCAGCCTATGCTCCACTAGGGGTAACGGGCAACGCTAAGGATACCGTGCCTAGCATGGTCCAGAATAATGGTACGTGTTCGTGGTCGCGAGGCCGTGTATGTGGATTTGCCACTCTGGGAGATTAGGGCTGAGCGCCTTTAAGCCTGAATCCCGTCTGTTTGGTGTAGGTAAATTTGAAAAAAGATATATTCTTCCAGCTTGCTTGAAAGCGGCCCTAGACGATTTGTTTGAAGAAGCAGCCGTAATGATCCTGGACTATTGACGTCAGACCCTATGTGGTTGTCCCAAACACTCTTCATTTCGGTGTAGTGTGTCAACTGGCATCAAGGCCCCTTTAACAAAGGTATCAAGTTGGGTTCCTGTGTGGAAAGTGAACTTGATCGCACTTGATGTATGCCTACCCTTATGTGGTGGTGGGATTAACCCTGCTTGGCTGAGTGCTTGCGCTTTGTCGATTCCATGACATCTACCCCATGGGAGGGTGTACGTTCTGGCTGACCTTGAGGGACAAACTTGATCTTTTGCTTTATGTGGGGTCTGAGGGCTCCGGTCGATTGTATCAGCGCAGAGCGGTTGGAGGCCAGACGGCTGGAATGGCTGCTGGGTAGCTCGGTAAACCGTCGCGGAGTGCCAGGACTGGCTGGCGAAGCCCGCCTTGTCGCCTAAGTCAATTGGGGATTATGGGTAGTGGTCTGGTTGGAGGGATTGAACTAAGTCATAAGCATCTGTGTGGGGGTGACCCTCGTATGCACACTGGCTGGATGTCCAACTTGCTTGCATGAGAACCTAGTCGACATATACATACCCTTTTGGGCAAAGAGAATCGTGTTATGGCAAACGTGTGAAACTGTGTGATGTGTAAAATGCAGCATGTATACATGTGATGCAGGCATGTCGGTTGACCCTCAACTACATATTAATTACTACAATTCTATATCATACTAATAACCATATTTTTTTTAATTTCAGGGATTTCAATTATGTCATGAAGTAGTGGTTGCACATAATCCAACTAATCCTAACAGTAATATTGAACATCATTCTGTGACTAGCATAAATGCATCACCAGCTACTATCATACAAAATGATAATCTTGTCAATTGTTCAAACAACATTAATAACAATAATATTACTAGTAGTAATAATAACAAACCCAAAACTTTATCTTTAATCAAACAAACCAATGAACGACTTAATCCCATGTCTAATTCTCCACATGCTACATATAATTCACGAAGACTTTCAAATATCTCTCATAATATTATCGATACTACTACTATTACTAGTAGTAGTAATAGTAGTAGTATTACTACTCCTACTGCTTCTTATAACAACCATAACATCAAGAATAGTTCAGGTTATTTCCCAACCAATAAAAACACTACTACAACTACTGCTAATCAATATTGGAAATCAACCAATCGATGCCTTCCAACACGTTTATCGTCGAAATTCACCACAATCAATAACAATGTTCAATCCTCAAGAGGATCCCATGTATCATCATCCACATCCGCATGTGTATGCGCATCAACCTATGCACCTGCATATAATGGACGTGTTTTAGGTGTTGGTCTAACTATAAATCCATCCACTCGACCTGGACATCCATCCAATTGTATTAATTGTAGTAGTAGCAGTGGCAGTGGTCGTGGGACTACTACCAGCAGTAATAATAGTAATAGTAATAATAATAATGGTCATACTAATAGTAGTAGTAGTAGTAGTGGTAACAGTAGTAGCAGTGGAGGTGTTTCAACAACCACAACAACAACAGCAACCAACAAATCATTGATTAATCGTTACAATACAAATAATACAAATTCAATGTTCAATTCATCATTATCAAGATTTGGTGATACAGATCAATTACTGAAGGTAAAACACATGTTGGTTTTTTTCTTCTCAATAGAGTGTATTGTTTAATACTTCATGTGTGTTATTTTTCGTGTGTTCATATCTCTAAACCATTACAATCGCAGTATTCTTATGGTATTAACCGATGTACCTTATAGGTGACAGTTCTGAACAGTTGGTTTTATTTGTTAATTATAGACTTATAGAGATTATTGAGTTTCATTGATATAGTGCGAATCAATCATTGTTAGGTTATCATTAGAAGTCTGGAAGCACTGGATAGCTGTTTTGTCCTACAATGGGACTCATCAGCAGTGTGCATCCACGATGCCCATGTTAACTGATCAGTTTTATAGATTTAACAGTAGTAATCTGTGTACTATGAAGGTAGGGCTAGTTGTTCTATGTTTATTGATTTTAGTGGCTCTGTGTTTGGACTCTAATATTTTACGAACAATTAAAAATATGCCTATGTCAGCAGTTCAGAAAACAAAACTCCACCACAATCATCTACTTGCGCTACAAATTTTCTCCATCATCTCAAAATCTTCCTTTCAATTTGCATATTACATCATCATTGTACGACAACGGTTGCTGACTAAAGCACTCCGTCTTACTTTATGGCTGTGAAACATGGCCAGTCAGAGTAGATATTAGTAGGTTACTGATTTTCGATCATAGATGTCTTAGGAGCATTGCTCGTATATCGTGAGACAACTGAGTGAGTATTGCTGTCGTTAGGAAACGAGTACTAGGTAAAGATGGCAGATCAATAGATGAAGTGGTGAAACTTCATCAGTTGAGGTGGTTGGAACATGTGTTACGAATCCCCAACCATCGACTGACGCGACGAGCTATGTTTTGTGGTGCAGGAGTAGGTTGGAAGAAAGGTAGGGGCGGCCAGACGAAAACATGGCAGAAATGCATGAAGTCACTGACAAATGGACTGAATCATGTTGGTAAATGTAGGCTACCTGGTTGGGGTCCGCAAGACGAAAGTCACCAATGGTTAGAGACTTTGAATGACATGGCTCAGAATCGTTTGCAATGGCACAAGTGCATCAATTCGTTGTGCTCTCTCAAATCCTAATCTTCTCGATTCGTCAGCCCCTTTACCTTTGTCTTTTCAAACTTATCTCACTGAATTATTATACTTCTTGAATAATATCTTCAAACCCTAGTCTTCTTCATTACCATTAATCAATACCTCTACTATCTTTATCACTATGGGATTTGATTTGACATTTGCGTCTCTGTGCTAATAATGTGGTATGGCAACATGAACTTATGTACATACGTACGAAGTTCTACGTTGCAACTGACTGATTAAAAAAAGCCAAATAAGGTTTGATCTGGGTGAATTTTTTCTATACAAAATCGTTCATGCACACAATCATGAAGATAAAAAGCTGAAAAGTCTAGAGAACTGGCAAAGGCACGTGAGCTGACTAGAATGTGTGATGAAGCATGATGGCTAAGAATTTACAGTGAGACAAAAATAATCTAGACGTGTGTGTTATGTGCCATAAGTAATGCATACACATACATACATACATACACACTCAAATAATTTATAAGGTTAGAAAAAGACATGTGATTTATTACTCGCAAAGAATAGATTGATTAGTTTGTGCAGGCACAGAGGCTAGGGGGGTGTATACACTATAAGGTGTACATTATGAAAGTGTGATGTTTCGGTAATCCTATTTTATGATTTTGGTGAAATTCACCAAACTCCATAACCTTATTATCATGTGCTCACTAGTGACTAGCTCCGTGAGGAAGTCTCTTCGAGTTCTAGTACGAAGCCGTAATCAGTGGGATTGAACTGTATCGGGTGTAGGCAGTAATTACCGAAGACAATGGGTGAAGTTGCGCAATAGCTTGGATTAATCAAAGTTAGACATTAACATCGTTGGATGCCAGCTCAGTGGTCTAGAGGTTAAGCTCTCGAAGGTCGTGGGTTCGATTCCTGCCAGCGGGTGTCGTGTATGTGCACTGCTGATGAGTCCTATACTAGGATGAAAAGGCCGTCTAGTGCTTCCAAGTTTCTGACATTGGTCTAACATTGATTGATTCATGATTTCGATGAAAACTCAACAATTTTCACAACTCTATGGTGAAAATTGTAGTTTGTTCACTTATTTTCCCCCTTATTCTTTCTTTTTTCACAAATTCTATCCTATATTCATTAAAAATAAATGTAAATACATTTAAATCTAATCAAATAATTTCTTAAATTTTGTAAACATTTTGCATCATCACCTCTGTCTTTCTCTTTTTAAGTTTATTTTACTGCAATAAATAATATCTTCTGATAACCCTAATCTCTCCGATTACTACTAATACTTCTACTACCTCTACTACCAAAGGATTTTGTAAGGATATTCACTAAATATCCTTCGAAGGATCATTTTGTAAGTGTAAAATTTATTGGTCGAATCCCGTTGTTCAATATTATGGTCGTCCTAGTTATCAATCTCACTTCAAATGATTTTTTTCCTATTGGTCGCGTTAATTGTCAATGCCACAGGCTTTGATGCTGTTTCATATTCAACCTAACTGTATAAATACGCATTATCTGCAACGTTTTATGAAGTAGTGAAACTTCATCAGTTGAGGTGGTTGGGACATGTGTTACGTATGCCTAACCACCGACTGCCTCGACGAGCTATGTTTTACAGTGTAGGAGTAGATCGGAAGAAAGTTAAGGGCGGCCAAACCAAAACATAACAGAAATCCATGAAGTCACTGACAAGTGGACTGAGTTATGTTGGTAGATGTAGAATAACTGGTTGGGGTGGGGTCCGCAAGACGAAAGTCACCAATGGTTAGAGACCTTGAACGACATGGCTCAGAATCGTTTGTAATGGCGCAGGTGCATCCACTCTTTGTGTGCTTTTTAATTCTAACCTTCTGAATTCCTCCTAATCTCTACCCTTCTCCTTCTAAATATATCTCACTGAATTATACTTTTCGAATCATATCTTCGCTCCCTAATCTTCTCCATTACTGCTAATACTTCTACTATCACTATCACTCTTGCATTGAACTGAGAGTTAGGTCTCTGTGCTGATGGGACATGGCAACCTCTGAACTGATGTCCTTATGTACGAAGTTCTGCGTTGTATCTGTCTGTCTAATGTCCGTACCAAGTTCTACGTTGTTATAACAGATTGAATTGACTGACACTGTCCACCAATTCTTATCATTCATATAATAGAAAGAATAATTATCAGTTGATAATCTAAATTCAACACTATTCTCTCTTTAATGATTTTCTTTTCTTTTTTGACTAACTAATCAGTAACATCATTAAAAAAAAATCTTATCCTAACGAATAACTTTTTTGTCTTTCAATTCGACACTATTAAATGTTATTTGAATGCATAACTTTGTGTGTGTGTTTCTCATGATTCATTTCGATGAATTACTTTGTTTTGTTTTTTCCTTCTCACTCTCTCCATGTATAACACACGTGTTGTTCAATGTTCAACATTGAAATTTCTTCTAGTTGTTGTTTTAATTGTAATCGTTGTCATTATTATTGTTGTTAATTTATATTAGGTAGGTAACACTTGTTAGTAGGCACTTATATCCTCTCAATTATTTGTTGTTGTGATTATTATTATTGAAATGAACTTTGTTTATTCATTTGTAATATGTCGGTCCGTTTATGTGTGTGCGTTTGTGTGTGTGTGTGTGTGTGTGTGTGTGTGTGTGTGTGTGTGTGGTAATGCGATTGTAACTAAAAGCTTTCACTCAGGACTACGGTGATGTGTTGACCATGTTTCTTTCATTGAGATAAGAAGTTTTTCTTTTGTATTTCACCTATTACTGCTACTACTGTGGTGTGAGCTACTTATAAGTAGTAGTATATGACGTGAGTGTCAACGTAATGTCTGGCAGGCAGAAGATGGGGGGAAGATCAAGAGAAAGGAAGAGTTAGAAGAACACAATGGAATTTGTATGAAACGCATGAATAGTGAGTGACAATGGATTGATGTTGTGTTTGCAACAGGAACAGTCCAGTTCGATATGATGAACTGATATTTTGCAAATGAACGATTTACGATATGGTTTTCCAATTTTACTGAGTAACTCTGTAATTATCGTTAAATACAATTCGGTTGCCTTCACCAGTGTTCTCCTTCACTACACTACTACTACTACTACTATGTAGATGGTTAGTGATAAATCTCTTAACTATTCCCAAATATGTAGGTTATAGGCTGTTACTCCTAGTAGAACATAGGCAACCTACTCTATCCTGAGACTTCCTTTCTAGTTCTGTCTAATTGTTGCTCATTCTTCTCATGTTTTGTTTCCAGTTCTCGGCGTAAAGCAGTCGAAATCTTCATCCACTACCACTGTCCAGTTTTGATTGCTAAACAGCTTTAATCTCTTGCATTTGATATCACAAGTTGTTATCTCATCATGAAATGGGTGTGGATCCTATGTGCTTACTAAAGTAGTTACTTAGTTACTTACGCCTGTTACCTCTATTGAAGCAGTCCAGTTGTTGCTCATTCTTCTCATGTATGTTTCCATTTCTCAGTGTAATGTATTTCTTCGCCTTACTCTTTTCCTTTGACCCCGAGGGTTCCAAGTTAGGGCTTGTCTTGTGGCGCACTTTCTCAGTGTGTGTCCTATCCGCTCCCAGTGCTTCTTCCTCCACTGGAATCTTGTTTGTTCTATTCAACAGTAGGTTATGGTTGATTAATGTCTGGCCCAACGAATCGGTAGTATTTTGCATAGACAACTGTTTATACATACTTGTATCTTCTGAATGATGCCTTTCGTAGTTCTCCAACTTTTCTTCGTCTCATACAAGTGAACTGTCTTGTCAGAATAGTAAATATTTTATAAGTGATTATGTGAAAGGTAAATTATGTTCATTAATAGTGTATTTTTGTTTACGGTATACGTGTGTGTCCGTGTGTGTGTGTGTGTGTGTGTCAGTGCGTTGTTAATTGTAATCTGACATATGTCAGTAATAATCACTATTATTATTATTACTA